ATTATTGTCTTTTCTATTTTATTTTATATTATATGTGTATGTATATTAGAATCCAAATTCTTTTTGAAATAAACCGAGGGAGCAATAGTTCAATTCATAAAGAAAAATTATATAGGAATATATTGGAATTTTCCTGTTTTATATTTGAATAGAAAGAAAGGAAAACATAAAAATATTAATAAAACATTAAAGGAAAGTTATAGACAGAAGAGACTATATTTATTTTTTATAGCAGAGCAACCTGATATGGTATATTAATACGAAATTTCGAAAAAGGTAGTATTGTAAGTAAAAAATTAAAATATATTGTTATTGAAATTTTTTAAACACCTGTTCTTTACAAAATCGATTTCGGTATTTAAACCTTTTAGTACATTAATTATACATACATATATTAGATCCTGAACATGTGACTTACGAATTGATTATGAGTATTTTAGCAGAAAACTTTGATTCCCTTAGAAATTTATTGGTCCTTGAAGAATTCTTTTCATTTTCCCCCCACAACTGAATTAAATGAATTAATAATTTGGTTATTCTTAAAACAGTGGCTACCAAACTCTATATTAACAAATATACGTAGGTAAAAATTTTAAGAAGTTAAATTTATCTGGTATCACTTCCTCCATGGTAGAATAATGAATTAAATTGAGTAGATTTAGTGTTGACAACTGTAACGAATTACACGGAAAGTCTACACTTTAAATAAAACATAAATAGCAAATAAATAACCCTATTATATTATTCCTGTATAATCGACGAAGCTTATTTAAATATTTAGAAATTGAAACAATTTTGAAATTTTAAATTCAGTTATAAATTTAGAAGATAATCTTAAATAGAGAATCTGGCAGAATCAACTTTTCAAATTCTAGTAATTTCGTTTTTGTGTTAGACATTAAAGTACGTATACTTTCTCTAAATATACAGTTAATAATATTCATATATAGAATAAATTTATATTTTATAGTAATATACAAAATATTTAATTTCCAGAATTTCGCAGTATGAATTTTGCACATATGTTTATTATGTGTATATTATTGAAAAGAAAATTTATTGCCGGTTAAAGAAATGGGCGTCAAGTGTGTTAAAATTTTGCTCTATATTCAACTAAAACTAAATTATATATATATATGTATATACTCGTAAGTGAAGACAAAAAGAATGTAATTTTCAAGTACAAAAGAATTATTGAAAAGAATATTATAACCATATATATAGAAATTTAGTTTATAGATCTGGTTCCGCACATTGTAATATTGCATTATAGAATCGTGGTAATAACAAAGGAAGAAAGAAGAAAAAAAAAATTATGTTCAAAGTTTTCTTCGAATGTATTTTGCAACAGTTGTGATGCTAAAAGAATTGTGTTCTTCTTTTTTTTTTTCAAATAGAAATGAAATTCAATATTTCAAAAAATAAGGAAACATATGTAACGCCTTCTCAAATACTGATTTCAAATAATTTCCTTTATTTTATTTTTTTTTCCTATTATTTATCCTTTTCAATTTTGAATCCGTTTTCATATAGAAGCAAGTGAAAATAATGAATATTTTATTTAATATATATGTAGAGGTATAGACGCTTATAAAGCGTACGTATTTTACAACATTTTAAAAATATTTTCATTCAAAATTTCTTTTTGTTTTCCGAAATATAAAATTTGTTTTGTGTAACAGAGAAAAAGGATGGGAAAGCATCCTTGAGAATTAATTCAAAAGTTTTAAGCGAGAAAAAATTTATGTTTCGATTATTAGGAATGCAAGTGGAGTAAATGTAACCGGTGATGCAAAAAAAAAAAAAATTTTTCAAAATGTTTTGGTCCTATCATCTAGTAATTAAATTGAGATTTTGAACAATCTTAAACTTTTGAAATCTAAACTGCCAGCAATTAAAAGAACACAAATTTATCTCAAGTATTTATTTTAAAGTAAATATTAAAAAAAAAACTATAAATATGCAATAAAATATATTTTATATGTGCCTATAAATATGCAATATAACAATCTTGACCTATATTGTTCAAAATCAATGGAAAAGAGCCTTTAAAAATAAATTTATATTTGCTACATAATTTTTAAAATTAATTACATTTATAAGTTCTGTTAACACTGGCTTTCTTCAATTATCGAATAAATCTTTCACCCCCTTACTCATAAATAATTTTAAATGATAAACTCTTTAAATTTTCTAATTTTGATAAAAATTTTAAAATCAATTTCGTTTACGCTGAAAATTGTTATTTAATTAACGCTGAATAGCACCTAAAATTATGCAATTCACATTAATTTTTTCAATAAAACAGCCCAAATAATTAATAATACTTAAAATTTAAGTATTCCAAACAAATGGTTTTTTATTTCAAAAACTTAAATTTTTGTAACAAAAATTCCAGTTATTCGCAATTACAAAAAAAAAAAAAAAAAACAGAAAACTTTCCACTTTTTCAATATGACGATGGTGTTATACAATTATTGTAATTACTTTTTTTTGTTAATTTTTAATTTCAAAAGTTTAAAATTTTGTTACAACTAGGATTATAAATGAAATTGGTTTTTGATAATTACTATTGTTGGTGGTTTGCTTGAAAGTTTTATAGGTTTTTTTCATTAGCCTTACATGTAAAGTTTTAAATTGAAATTGTCGCAAATATTTAAATGTGCTATGCGCAAGGATTAAACGAACATATATATTTTATTGGTACAATATAATAATTATATATATAAGTCAGAACTATAGTTTAGGATAATCCAGAATCGGGTTGAATAAATGGTAAAATGGTATGAACATAGCTATTGGTAAGATAAAAATTATCCTCCTGAATATTTAATTTAAGTAACATGAAATAGAATTTACGTGTATGATAAATATAATTTTTGGTATTATAAATTTATGATATTGTAGATTGTGTATTACAGGGTGACAATGACACTGCGATTCGAGAAGCTCTATGGCAACCAATTTTTGACATACTTTGAACTGTGTTTGATGTTAAATATTATGTATATACTGAATTTTTTGGCACGACCAAAATAAAAATACATGTATAACATAGATTGCTAAATTTACAGATTGATATAGAATTTAATTAGTAATTTAAATAGTAATTAGTAATTTAGATTGATAGTAATTTATAGCCGGGTATATTGTCTAAAGTGAATATTCTTTACACGAAAATTACTACAAATTTTCAGATTTTTTATATACAATTTAACATTGACTTACGAAATCCCGCCTCAGTATTTTTATAATATTTGAAGTTAAATCATGATTATAAATCATTTTTGATTTATAATCAGCTAATATAAGTTTCGCCCCAACATTACTATAACAAGTTCAAACATTAATTAAATGACTTAAAACCCGTAACATTCTAACACATATATAACAGTTTCTTTTTTTTTTGTTATCTAATAATGTGCATTCAACCTACACATTATTACCGACCGTATTGTGTAAACAATAGGTAGGTTATGTGATGGCAACAAATTTTGCATATCGAGTTTTCGGTGGGAACGTACTTCTCCATAGCAGGGAAGTGTAAATAAACTATTTTTAGCAACCTGTCGGTCTGTCGGTCTGTCGGTCTGTCGGTCTGTCCGTCTGTCGGTCTGTGTGTGCACGCGTGTATCTCAAGTTCGGCTGAACCGATTTTGATGAAATTTTATATGTAAGTTTGTTTCCACCATGGCACGGATCGATCAACTTTTGGTATATATCAGGCCTCGGGAACTGCACTTTTTAGCGGGCCTGTTTTACATTTTTGAACATTTTGAAGAAAGTATTCAACCGATTTACTTGAAATTTTATATATAAGCTCAGCTCGACCGTCCGCAAAAATTCGTATGTTTTGGAAGAAATCAGGCATCGGCAACTAGACGTTTACTACGGGCCAAATATACGTTTTTGTGTATATAAAGAGAAATAATCAGCCGATTTCATTGAAATTTAATATATGAACTCCTCGTATTAAAACAATGAACATGTAAATTCTTTTGGAAGATCAGGGCTCGAAAACGGATTTGCGGGCCGATTTTACATTTTTCACCATTTTGAAGAAAGTATTCAACCGATTTACTTGAAATTTCATATATAAGCTTTGCTCGATCATACGCAAAAATTCCTAACTTTTGGAAGAAATCAGGCATCAGCAACTGGGCGTTTACTACGGGCCAAATATACATTTTTGTGTATATAAAGAGAAATAATCAACCGATTTCATTGAAATTTAATATATGAATTGCTCATATTAAAGCAATGAACATATAACTTTTTTGGAAAGATCAGGGCTCGAGAACTGATTTGCGGGCCGATTTTACATTTTTCACCATATCCACAGAACAAATTGATGAAAATTCTTGAAATTTGATATTTGAGTTCTGGTTGTTACCGAAACTAACTGGTGAGCATTTCAGGGAATTCGGGTAACACAAAGCGAAACTCTACTAAGAGCCAAATTTACATTTTTCTAAGTATGTTAACTATAAGCTTACTAATGTCCTAAAAATTGGAAAGAAGTATTTAACAAACATTTTTATAACATTCTGTAACACTTTCATTTAACTAGACTATACAGAATGCGGTCGGTTATGTGCTGACCACATCAGATTTTTTTTCAATGAATTGTCGTAAATTTTGACTTTGATGATAAGTTACAAGAAATTAAACATTGAAAAACTATTCTCACAGCCATTTATCAAATTAAGGAAGAAAATAAATATAAGAAAAAAAAAGGAAGCAATTTATTATACAATCCTGTTTCAATCTTATGATACCTTATTTGCTCCAATATCTCCTTTTCAAATAAAAAAGAACAGAAGGATAAAGAGAAACTGTTTTAAAGAAGATGGTTTCAAATTTTTCAATAGTATAAGTTTCGATAGTTAAAAAGTAAAGAAAATTTTTCAATAAAAAAATAAAAGTTTTCGATCGCGTTTCACGTATTTCGACCCCCTCCCCCTTCTCCTCCTACGTACTTACTCAAACAGTAGCTTTAGATGTATACATCTAGATACAGATATGAAAGCAGCTATGCAACTATATATGCAACTTTAATAAATGATACATTATATCCACCTTTAATCGTTCCTTTGATAATAGATTTAAGAGATAAGTTTTTGTTTTTATTGAAATTTATAGAGAAAATTCATAAAAGAAAAAAAAGAAATAAATTTACTTTTTGATATTTTCTGCAAAGTCAAATAATACGCCTTTATACATAAGTGCTGAATATGAAAAAAGAAAAAAAAAACAATCTTTCAAACTTTAAAGAAATTGTAATAATCAAAATGCTCGCAGAATTTTTAGTGCAAATAATGGTAAAAACGATAATGATAATATTGTAGAACGAGTTCCAAGTACTTATTATCAAGACTGGAACATGTTTTCATTCTTATTTTTTAAAAAAGCAAGAAATGTCATCAGAATACTTCTAAAATTATTTCTATATAATAAAATAAATGTAATTAACAGTCAATAGCAGTTTTAACTAAGAACTAAATTTAATACTAATGGCCGCCTAAAAACACAAGGAATGTCCTAGAACTGCATTTTAACATCATTCCTACTGTTAGCTTAATTAAATTGTGTATTAAATTTCACTCGTACAATCGAGGAATGATAAAACATAATTTTACTATACAAGACGTACGATAACCAACGATCACAAATTTTCAGTCTACTTTTAGTTAGAGTTTGATGCTTGCAGAGAACAATTGTGAAAGCTCTCGTCTTATTTCTTCTCTCTGAAACACATTCTATAAAGGATCATATGTGAAGGGATACCGTAACAATTGACACCACTTTAACTCTATTCTTTCTTTAGGAAAAAGCCAACAGGTTCTTTGGCATACTCTTAGCAAAAATGAATTGAATATTCCTCAACGTTTTGCAATTCTGCAAGCTGTTTTTCTCCGCCTTAACATAATGATGAATGCCATATATTCAAAATTCTGTACATTGTAGTATTCATTAACATTAATTAAGTTTTCGCCTAATCCGCTCTTTTATTTTTTCTTTCTTTTTAGAACTACAAACCCTTACTTGTTTCGGCATACTTATATGTTCTACATCAGCATACTCCTTTTCAAAAATTCAAATGAAAACAGTCTAAGCAATTCGGGCATGCAAAATCCATAATTGATATTTTTTACACTTCCGTTCTATTATAGTACTTTATTTGCAGTAAATTTGTTAGAGTTTATGCAGTAATTTTTTTTCTGCAGCTAAAAATAATTAATTTTTAAGTTAGACATGCAAACGCAAACTGCATTTTCGAAAATAAAAATTTGTTCAATCTCATTTTGAATAAAAAAAAAAGAGAAAATGGGTTGAATAAAAAGAGCTTAGGAATTTCTCGTCATTCTTCGTATTATAGAAAAATACTGTCAGTATATATTGTGGTGATTGCTAAAATACGCCACCTACATAATAAACACATAAATAAATAATTTAATCAGTAAATTAAAAACTGCTTGCAATGATAAGCATGCATATAATCACTTCAAAAACGGAAAACGCATGAATTTTTTCTGTTTACTCAAATATTCTAATATAAATAAAGATTCTAGGACTTGATTCTTACGATTCGACTTTCTTATGGGAATTAGTTTTTTTTTTTCAGAAAACTTTTTTCCTATTTATAAGATTTTTTGCAAATAATAAATTGAGCGAAAAAGCAGAATAAGAGAAAGGAAACAAAAAAGAAAAAAAATCTGATGTGGTCAGCACATAACCGACCGCATTGTGTATTGTCTAGTTAAATGAAAGTGTTACAGAATATTATAAAAATGTCTGTTAAATACTTCTTTCCAATTTTTAGGACATTAGTAAGCTTATAGTTAACATACTTAGAAAAATGTAAATTTGGCTCTTAGTAGAGTTTCGCTTTGTGCTACCCGAATTCCCTGAAATGCTCGCCAGTTAGTTTCGGTAACAACCAGAACTCAAATATCAAATTTCAAGAAATTCCATCAATTTGTTCTGCGGATATGGTGAAAAATGTAAAATCGGCCCGCAAATCAGTTCTCGAGCCCTGATCTTTCAAAAAAAGTTATATGTTCATTGCTTTAATATGAGGAATTCATATATTAAATTTTAATGAAATCGGTTGATTATTTCTCTTTATATACACAAAAGTGTATGTTCGGCCCGTAGTAAACGTCTAGTTGCCGATGCCTGATCTTTCCAAAAAATTTACATGTTCATTGTTTTAATGCGGGGAATTCATGTATTAAATTTCAATGAAATCGGTTGATTATTTCTCTTTATATACACAAAAATGTATATTTGGCCCGTAGTAAACGTCTAGTTGTCGATGTCTGATTTCTTCCAAAACATACGAATTTTTGCGGACGGTCAAGCTGAGCTTATATATAAAATTTCAAGTAAATCGGTTGAATATTTTCTTCAAAATGTTCAAAAATGTAAAACAGGCCCGCTAAAAAGTGCAGTTCCCGAGGCCTGATATATACCAAAAGTTGATCGATCCGTGCCATGGTGGAAACAAACTTACATATAAAATTTCATCAAAATCGGTTCAGCCGAACTTGAGATACACGCGTACACACACAGACCGACAGACCGACAGGTTGCTAAAAATAGTTTATTTACACTTCCCTACTATGGAGAAGTACGTTCCCACCGAAAACTCGATATGCAAAATTTGTTGCCATCACATAACCTACCTATTGTTTACACAATACGGTCGGTAATAAATTTGTTTAGAAAGTTAAAGAAGCGTCTTATTCAACATGCACGGCACGGGTGCACTTGTGTGTTCTAATATTCATGGTTTTTTCTCTTTTAAGGAATTATTTTTAAGGATTCTCTATATAGTTAAATAGCATTTGATTGCATTAGAAGTTGCAATTGAATAAAATGTTGAATTTATATTGTTGTATAAGTTTTTTTTTTTTTTTGTGTAAAGAAATGTTGAAATGATGACTTTTTTTATTTTTCGAAATTTGTTTAAATCTTCTTTTCCATTCACAGACATTCATACGTATTTGTCTTTGTTCTTTATAATATTATGTACTTTTGTTTCCCATTATTAACTTAGTTTCTTTTTTTTTCAAATATTTTAATGCTATTCACATATTGCATCTGTTTGTATTATCATTAGGTTGCGTATATTGCTTGTGGAATTCAAATAAACGAAATAATATAAAAATTAAATAAAATGATTTGTAGAATTTTTAAAATATAGACAAGATTTTGTAGACAAGTCTGACACTTGCAATATAAATGGTACACACATGCTTATGCCTAAAATACTTTTAAGTTAATAAATAACACGTTTTTCATTTGAAAATTAAAAAGTAGTCAATATATCAAATGCAAACTAGCCGGTTTTTATTTATTTTTGAGGCTACACTCTCTATAGTAAAACCAATTCGGAGTGAGTTGTTTTGCAAAAATCAAGTTGTTTCTACGCTGTCATCAACACAAGACATTTAGTTCCTTGTTATTTTAAGAAACAAAGTTTTTCTACCGAATCGGATATAAACTATATCCGAAAGCTTAATTAGTTACTCTTAAAATATTAAAATTTTTTATCTCTATCATTCTTTGCAAAACTGAACTGTTTCATGTAAATAAGTAAAGTCAAACTTTTGATCTTTCTATTTTATATATAAAATCACAACCTCTACATATTTTCGTTTTAATTGGTTCAAATGTGTGAAACGAAATTGTTTGATTTGCACTCAAACATACTCATGTTTCAGATACTTGCGCCAACTTCTAAGAAATTATTTATTTTTAACACTTTAAATTCTAAAAGATTTAGATTATGATTCTTAATTTTGAAATTTCTCTTTTCCAAATAAGTTTCTGACTTATTTATACATAAATAGACGTAATACGAATTTCTGTGTGTTTGCAAAAATGTTAGACCTCATACAATACAAGTTTGAAATACTTTCAAACATCAATGTTTAAGTTTATTGTTCTTGTACCAAGTAATACTTTTAGAATAAATGTTATTGTATCTATTATTTTCATCAGCCACCATTCAATCTTATAAATTGTTTACACCTAAAACACAATTGAAATAATTGCTTTTTTAAAATAAAAAAGAATATATTGTTATACTGTTATAATAACGGAAAACGTGTCAAATGTTGGAATGATTATTTTGAATGGAATGTAACAATACCTTTTTAAAAAAATATTTTTTACACTACTATCATACATGTTTTGTAGTCTTTCAAAAGTAAATTCATAAATTTAGAATAAAAATAAGTGCACTTCTTATATGTTTGTGTATTTACATACGTGCTTTCTTATTCAAAAATTGAATAATATTAAAAAGAATGTTATTATATTTTTTTCAGTTTAAAGACACTAAGAATGAAATGTAAATGACATGTAACTATGACAATATTTTGATTTGTACTTGAAATAAAAAACAAAAATTGTTCAATATTTATGAACATTTTTCCTTTAAAAACACACCGAACACACTAAAATAAAAAAAATAGAGTTCAATGAATTTTTGCTATAACATTGTATCTTTGTTTGAAAATTTGAATATTCATAGGAGAATTATTGAAGATGTGATAGACTTAAAAACATAGAAATTTATTATTTATTCAATTTAATATTGAGTACTTATATAAAATAGTATATAAGAGTTATTTGAAATATTGAAAGATTGAATTTACAATTTAGAATTTCTGATCGTATTGCAATAAATGTAAGTATAACCAGATTCCTTAAATGTCAAATTAAATTATTTTATGTGTATTCAAGATATAATTTTCGGTAAAAGTTAAATATAATAAATTGATTTAAATATTAAGGTTACGGGGGTTTTAAAATTAAAGCAATGCAGTAAAAATTTTCTTTTCGAATAATATTCTTCCTTTATATTTTTTTATGCAACAATATCAATAAATTCCAATGGCTTATCAATTTTTGCTTTAAATTGAACAAAAAAAAAATACTTGTAGAACAGAATTTCTAATTTGCATTGAAAAATATGTAAGTAACCATTGCTAAAATGATTCTCGATTTATTGAATCTATTTCGAATACCATTTAGAACAAAAGAATAATAATTTGATCTGTTTTGATGACAGTAAATTTTATTATTAAAAAGAAGCAAAGTTTAATAGATTTCTCGTAAACTGAAGGGCCTCAAGATTTTAATTGGTGAATATAGCTGAAATCACATTTGCAGTTCTAACAAAGATCTGCAATATCCGCACGTTTTTGTAATTTACTTCAAAAAGTATTCCGTTTTTATTGGTCGAACTGCAAAAGGTCTTCTAGCAAATCGAAGGCATAAAATTTTTTTCCGCTTTAATATTCATAACCTCAATTAGTAAAGAATTCAATTTATGAAGAATATAATT